CAAAGATTATAGATGCTCCTCTGGCCTACGTGACGATGGAAACGCTTATTGGCCCTGGTCAGCAGTAGTGGGAGATAGGGAGTCGTGTCAGTTATCTGTACCTTGACGTAGCTTCTCGTTCGTCGAGACGCTTATGTTCTTCGACCTCAACTTGCTCCATCCAATTTCACAGCTTCAACCTTTCCGGCTGAAACATCACAGTCAATGGGTCCGTTTCATTCGTCGCTAGCTGGTTGTCCCAACTGCTGATGCGTGTATTTGGATATATGCTACGGTCACGACGGGTATGAATTTATATTAATAATCGACGGATGCCGGGAACATCGTTGCGAAAATCGGTTTCTATGGCTTCTCTTCCTATGGTTTCTCAATTGGTTTCCTTGGTCGGGGCATACCATACTGCTATATCAAGAACTGGACTACCGTCTGCCGAGCTCGAGCGTTGGAACATGCCCGTCCCTCATCTCTGTGACGTGTACTCGATGTGTATGCGCAATTTCAAGGTTGGACTAGGGGTACAGATTCGCAGACAACATTACACGCGAATATACAACGTCCCTCAGCGTGTCTACGGGCATATCCATTACTCATAAATACACCCTATTCGCGACTTCACTATCGTGACGCCGATAGCATGGTCCACTATTCAGTCATTGTGATCAAGTCAATGGGCCCCAAGCCCCAGATCCCATTAAAGTAAGCAGGCGTAGGAAAGATTTTCGCTGCAAGAGATTCAAGATAAACATGGGGATGCGCGACTTCGCAACGATCTGGAAAGTGTGACTCGTTTGGAGATCCCTGACCAACTTGTGGATATGTTGTTAGTCTGTAGCCGGTAGAGCACGAATACAATTGAACTGAAACGTTCATATGATGAAATAGAGCTACACTAGCGAAGATCTCTATAGCTCGATAGAGAAACTTGTCACCTGTGGCAAATATGCCCCCGCAGCAAGGTCCAAGATATACACATCATCAAAGCTATTGCTTCCGTCGTGACCACCAAAGAGGAATAGTCTACTGTCAGCAAGGATCGACGCGTGGTAGCCGCGGCCGCTAGGAGGGCTCCCATACGTTATACGCGGCTCATAGGTAAGGGATACTACGGGACAGGTGTATCAGGATCGCGGAAAACCCACCAGCGAAAAACACGCACCCAAATTAAAAGGAAGGACTTCGGAGCAGTACTCTTCACCATTGAAACCACCTGTGATGAGAAGGAACGATCCGACCTGCGTTGCGCTATGCGCTATACGTTTGTATTTGTTCGTCAAAAGTGTGACTTGGCTCCAGTGAAGCGCATCTGAATTGTGTGAGCCTCTCGCAAATAGCAATAAGACAAGGAACACATACCAAGATCTAGACACCAGACATCTGTAAAGAAATCTTTCCCGTCGCTCCCACCCACCACCACCATCAAGTTCCTCACCAAATTTGCTGAATGATACCCTCTATTCTTTGGCGTCCTTCCAGACGTCTGTACTTGCTCCCACTTCATCCTAGTGAACGACGATACGTCTAGCGTCCACACATCATTGAGTGCATGCAGTCCTGTGCCGCCACCAAAAATCCAAATCTTTTGCTGATAGAAAACGGCAGTGTGTGCACGTCGTGGCGTTGGACAGGGTCCGGTAATGACTGGGGTGGACCACTGACGCGTAACGGTGTCAAAAACATATACATCGTTGAAGTACTTCATGCCGAACCCCCCTCCAATCACTACGAGTTTGCGGTCAATGAGGGTTGTAGTATGCGCTCGAAATGGGGGAGGAATTGTTCCTGTTGATTCTCGGGTGGTCCATTGCATGGTTTCTGGTGCGCGTCGCGATGGATGGTGAGTGTTAGTATTGCTAGACTTCAGAGAAGTACCGCACCCGTGTCGAAACAATGCATATCTTTCATATCCTTATTGGAATCCTTATCATCGATCCCCCCAACCAGCCATGCAATGTTGTCCACCAATGTCATCGTGTGTGCACGCATAGTGCGTTGAGGGACGGCACCATAAACCGGAGCTCGACTCCAGTACATCGCAGTGCTCGGTACAGTCGGCGCATCCTTGTCATGAGGCAATGTCGGAATCGTTTTTATTTTTGAGCCAAAGGAGACTGGAGTTGATCTTCTGGATTTCGTAGAAGTTGGAGTCGTAGCTGCTGAGGTACACGGAGACGAAGGAACGCGCTTTACAGTATTACTGCTGCTGCCAGATACGACATTCTCATTGGTTGATCGGCCGAGAGTTCTGATACTCGGGGTGCGCGACTTTGACATGCTGTGATTTGGGCGAGAGGACGATGTGGCCATAGCTGAAGGCGGAGGCGTACTGGAAACTGCACCGGTAGAAGAAGTCCCAGGAGCCGGCGAAGTGGACAAAGGAGTTGATCTTGAGGTCGTTGCTGTGGGCGTCAGCGTTCCTTCTTCAGGGACATCGCTCAGACTGCGCGATATGCTGCTCATTGTCGTGAATGTATGGGAACCGAGTCGCTATTATACGCTCCACGTGGTGGCATTGATCAAAGAGATCTATCTTCCTGATCAAGATTTTTCCTCGTGTGTGTATTATTAGCAAAGACCATTGTAGTCTCTACAAAGGAATAGTAGTGGTACTAAATGAATGTGCTCAATCCAAGTGCCCCTAACACAAGTCCGTTGTCCGACAAGCTTAGAACATGCACAAAATCAAGAACGACAGCGTTCCAAGCAGAAAACAACCTGGCTGGCCAACATGAGGTGCCGCATTCGTAGTAGTCGCAAGTGCAGGAGCAGAAGTCTCCGCTGGACTACCGGCTGCGTCCGTGGTATTCTGGTTCACCGGTGCATTTGACGAAGGCGATGAAGGGGGTGACGCGGGCGACTTCTTCGCGTTTTCGACAAACGATGCAGCAGTCTGACCAGTGGTAGAAGGATTGACGGCAAGAACGGCACCCTGGTTGCACAATCCTCCAGCTTCGTCGTAAAACCACTGCGGATCAGTGCTATTCACTGTAACCGTGAATCTTGGCAAACCAGGAGCATCGACGGATAACGAGTCAGATACCTCGAAAAGACTCAATCATTTGTGCGCTTCACGTGCAACGAAACCTACGGTCTGAACACCAGTATTGATCCCACCAGTCTTGCCTACACATGGATTATCAAACGTTGATTCTGAGATCAAACGTCAATGAGGCGTAGCAAAGTATAAATAACATGTGAGGAACGCGCACCAACAACACTATGCTGACCGCTCCGGAACTCCCATACAATGGTATCGCCTACTGCAGGATGTATCACAGAAGGATCGAAACCAAGGCCCTTTTTACTGTATCTCACAGTGAGCGAGGATGAAAATCTTGTATCAGCACACGAACCCCGTCGTTTCGTCTTTCCCGACTCCGACAAGGTATTCGGCTCCGAAAACGAGAGGAAGGCAGCTCAACGCTACAACTGCAATGAATGTGGTGCACTTCATGATGCACAAGTTCTAGTATGCGAAAGAGGGTATAGAGAGAAAGGCGTTGAAGAATGTGAAAAAGAGCTATAATATTATCGGACTTCGGAGAGCGTGCGCTTCAGCTTGAATTCGCTTATTGGTAGAGTGCGTTTCTCAGCGAGGCAAGTCTCAACATCGGCCTCAAGAGTAGCGACTTGAACAATCAAAGAAGCACGCAAACGTCATAATGAAGACTGCACTAAAAGGGACTTGACGTCAAGAAAGCATTACTACTTACGATCACAAACGATGGAAGGATATTGAGTAGAAAATATTCTGGATTGTCTTGGTTGTGCGTATATCTATGGACAATCGTATATGCAGTCGACTGAGACAGTATCAACGCCATCTCGTCATCGTTCGTTCGTAGACGTTGGTAGACACGGGCATTGTCTTTGCAAAGAGCTTGTGACAGAGCTGGTTTTTACACTGACAAGTTATTTCAATTAGCCTCGGAAACGGCAAGTTCTGAGATCAACCTACTAGACGGAGAAATTAGAATCGACAACCATAACAATTTGTCTGTAGGCATTGCGGAGTTCTCGACTAGAAAATAAGACATAAACAATTATCTCGGACGCGATGGCAGGGAACCAACCCTACGAGGGCTTCATGAGTCAGGCAGGAAAAGCGAAGAAGATTGGGATGATGATGATGTGGGTAAAAAGCGAGAAGAAGGAGTCGAAGAAAAGAAGAGGGCGAGAAAGACAGATAGGGATAAAAGGTTCACGCAATCACACAATCACACAAAAAGGTTGACGCTTGAAGTCGACTTGACGTCTGGCGTAAGATAGCATCATGAGACGGCAGACAATAGACCAACAGACAATGTAAGCAACGTACCTTGATCTTGGAATTCAATTAACTTGCAGATTGAGAAGGTCTACGATGATTCCCGACCTCATATAAGCTCAAGCAATGGACAGTGCAATCGTAGATCCTTACCTTGAGGCACACAATAGATAATGAAAGACCCTTTTTGTAGAAAAGTGTGACACACTTGGGCGATGTGGTGACGTATATCGTAGATCATCGTGCGGTTGCTAGAAATGAGATAACCAGTCAGGCAAGATGGAATTGACGTCTCTGAAGACGCTCACGAACTAGCACATGATGTCTGTCGACGAGTCAGTGAGGTCTTGCGTGGCGCACGGCCGAAGATATGGTATTTGATGAGGGCGAGAAGATGGCTGAAATACAGCTCTAGACGGGTGCATGAGACCAGAGCATGACGTTGCTGGCCATACTGACTGAAGGAGAGATCATGGGAAGACCTCCATAGTGGTTAAAAGAGGAATCGTTGGGCAAGTAGGCGCTTCCGATGCTGTTTTTTATACAACGGTATTTGTGGGCGGATCTAGAATCGGAAACAAAAGAGTGGGATTTTTTGGAACAAGTCGATAGAGCAGGTAAATGTAGCCGGTGGCAAAGTGACGTGACGTTCTGAATCAGGGCGTCGGTCTGGAGGATCCATTAGTCTGACCGATTCAAGTCGAAAGATGGTGCGGAAACGTCAAAAACTCCAAAACGACAGGCCCGGGGCTCGAACCCGGAATCTTCAGCTGTATGTACATCTCTTGATGCCGGAAACTGACGCGTTGCCATTACGCCAACCCGCCATACAACGTCGTGCGTAATTGCCCTACCCAGACGTTGCTAGTCCCAAGCAGTCTCCAC